AGGAAATCAATGCCTTGCCTTTTACTTCTTAATTAATTCATAAATAAATCAAGGCAAGTTTATGCCGCATGGAAGGTGTCCCTGGGATCTTAAGCTTGGAATTATATGACAGATGTCCAGAGTATTCTTGCTCTTGCTATCTATGATCTATCACTGAATTGTTGTAAACAGACCAGGAAATTTCCGATATTTCTTCATTGAATCAAAACAAAATATTATTAACCGCGACAGTTGACGGGATAAGCTTTTTCACTTACTATTTGTCTTCCTTTTTCTAGAAATTTAATTTATTTTCTTTGAATTTGGATTTGGATTTTAATTTTCTGAGCGAGAATAGATCTATTTAAATTAAAAGAAGATTTATTTTCTAATGAACTTGTATATTTTTTGGGTGTCTGCATAGGTACGGCCGATGGAGACCCAATCTCATAATCAACTTTTATAGATACTAGGTGGCGATGCCGCGGGTGGAGATGGCCTATAGGCATGTATTATGTGGCCCGTTATTGTGTTTTGTTAGTATTATTAGCCTAAAATTAATTTTTTGTTAGCAGTTTTGTTAATAATATTGACTAAGAATAGATATACGTAGGTCAACATCCAATTTAAAATTTTTCGCTAATAAATGATATTTACCTTAACCCAAGTAGACTCATTGATTATGGGTAGGGTATGAGTGACGTATATATGGGTTTGAAACTTTGTAGATGGTTTGGGTAGGGACCATAATCTAAATGTGTATGAGTTGATATGGATATTCATTTATTCGAGGGTGTTTTAATTACACATACAAAAATTAGACCTATTTGTAGGACTTCACAAGTTCAGGTACTAAGATGTAATACACAAAATTTTAGATACTACAATGTAATGTTCCATAAGTATTTTGAGGGCTTATATGCCAAAAAATAATTTTAGGTTATAAATCTAAGGATCTATTAAGTTTAGGTACCCAACTGTAATTTGCATAGTCGAGGCTTAATTCCTTTTATGGTGATGTATTTAAGATAATAATTATTTACATTTTTATAAAAAATAGAAAATTATTTATTTGATATGTATAATTGTTGAAATTCCATGTATAATTGTTGAAAATTCTACCCGGGTGAAAAAGAAAACCTCTAGAGAGAAGCAAAAGGAATACAAACTGGAACTCGCTTAAAATTTCATGCCTTCAAATCTTACTGTAAAATGATGAATTTCTGATAAGTAATAACCATATATATTCGTTTTTAATTGGACTCGACATTGAGCTAAAAAAGGTAGTGATTCATGCTTCAATTATTAATTCTCTAGACTGTTGGTCAGTCGTGTATGGACCCGTTACATATTTGTGATTGGAATACATAAAAATAGTATACTAATTAGGGTTAGATGAAGAAGGCAAAGAAAGAAATAAAGAAAGGGTTATGGAAGGCGAGTGAATAATGAAACGAAGAGGAAGTAGATGATGAAAAGGTTTTGACCAATTCTTTTAGTTGGTCGTCAATACAATAGTCAATCATTTTCACCGTAGCAATTTATTGACACTTGCTTATGTAGATGTCGCATATTTTGTTACATGTAGTTAGTAGAAGTTTGTTTAGTACCCCGTAAATGTACTAAATGAGTTTATAAATTCGCTATAGCAATATTTTAAAATCGTCTCTTTTTTATCATTTTTTTAATGTTTCACGTGATTAGCAAATATAAAATGGTCGAATCTTCTACTACATTTGAGTGATACAACATCTTGTATGATACAAACTAAATTTATACTTTAATGTAATGATGGATTGGATTCATGGATTGGTTCAAAAGATTGGTGGATTGAATTCATGGATTCAAGTGAAATCTAAACATTTGATCAATATATAAAAGTACAAAATTGTAGGTACGAAATTCTCATACAATTTAGATACCAAAACATAATTATTTAATGATTTTACATTAAAATTAAATTTGGGATATCAAAATATAAAATATACATTATAGTGATTAAGTTGTGATTTAATTAAATTTGGGATATCAAAATGTAAATAGGTTAGGCAACAGTAACCCAACTTAAGCTTTATATATATGTACTAGTCTCAATACGCAAGCATACGCCCTAGGAGATTTAGCCATGTTTAATATACTTAAAAACAACATAGTCATAGCACAATAGCCATGTTATGCGAGAAGCATTTACAATCATATTGATATCTACAAAACATAAGTATAAAAAAGTTAACTCATGTCCCATGTAAACTCATCGTTAGCTTTCTCAATTTTAAGCTGAAAATGGCCCAAAAAGATACTTTTTTTTTTTATAGCTAAGCTTAATAAATCAAATCAATCCATACTCACGTTATCTTGGCAAAATTTGAGCAATTTTCATTAGAAAATAAATGAAGCAATCATCAACACGTACACAACGAAACTGTATTAATTCAAAAATATTAGGATATACGTACATCACTGAATTATTACTATGCCTAAAAAGTAAAAAGAAGTTCCAGTAGAAGTGAACATGTAAAAGCTTCAATCATAATCCATCACCATGGTATTAGAAAAATGCTTACTCGTCAATAGAATAATGTTCCACAATGATAACTAAGCTAACTGTGCTAACTCCTTTTATCTCACAAGGCAAACAAACCAAAAGAGTATAGTAAGTACTGAATATCCCAATACATAAACCAACAGATAGCAGTAGGCATGTGAAAACCAAAAAGATTCACAAAATGAGATCAATAAAACTTAACCAGAAAAATACATTAACAATGCAATGCTAGAATCGAAGCTCCGAGAGAGAAATCAAAGGGAACTTAGCTGCAGCTTCGTCCCTCCGATACAAATGATGAATTCTCACTCTCGTTGCCTCTCTCATTTCCGCCTCAATGGTTGGAGTTAAAAGAGAGAGAGGAGACAGGAAGAATAGGCCCAAGAATTACACAATCCACCACACAATTTCGACTACTCTCATTGGGAATGCGATCCATTTTAGTTCATCATCTACTTATTCACCTCTACCAAACAAAAAGTAATGACAGAGTTCACAGAAGCAAACATTTTCTCTACTAATTGAAGATCTGAAAATTTTTCGATAACAAAACTTGTTTCGGCGTCAGTGCGGCTGATCTGCCAGTGTGAAAAGAAACGGCTAAATTACACGTTTGGTCACTCAAATTACAAATCTTTCACCTTTGCCACCCAAATTACATTCCTTTCTTATTCGCCACTAACTTTACGAATCGTTTCACTGTTAGTCACCCGCCGTTACACTCCGTTAACTTTGCCCTACATGGCAGTCAACTATAAAGTTTGACCGTTAACTAGATGACGTGAAAATTTGAAAAAAAAAATTAAAATTATTTTTCCACATCATCATTTCTAATTTATCATATTAATTATTTAATAAAAATTAATAAATGGCAAAAAATAATATCTGCGTTTTCTACGTATGCGGCCTTCCTTCCTTAACCGCTCCCTTCTCTGTTTTATGAAATATTAGGAGTTTTTGGGTGGTCTTTATCCCTTGTTTTGTTCCCTGTCCAATTTCAACAATTGAAAATTCTAAACAACTTCATCAATCTCTAATGTCCCGATCCCTCACAATCTCAAGGCGCTTTACCCATTGGAGATTCTCTCCGTCGACGGACGCCACTTAATCCTACAATCGCCGGTTGTCTCATCTTCATTCTCGCCTCCCGCGTAGTCCCCATCTTGCCTCAGAAGTTCTTCCAAATTGACGCCCTCGACCAGGCCCCTCGCTTGCTGGGCAAGCTCCTGCACAGAGATGACGCCATTCTTCAGATTATAGAGGTTACTTCTATTTTATTGATCGGAAATTGCATCCCCAACTGTTGGGTTTATGGGGGTTCATTGCATTAGAATTGATTGTTATTGCTCTAACAGGTAGAAGCTTACAGACCTAATGATTCAGCCTGCCATGTTTGGGATTACTCCGAGAACAGCTCCAGTGGTAGGATTCTTTCATCTCTCTATTTATATAGAGATGAATCAGGCCACCGTGAGATCGTTTAGAAGCAAGGTTGTCAACCCGCGGGTTGACCTAGACCCGGTCGAGCTAGTGGGTCAAGGGTTAATGGGTCACCCTTTTAGCCCGGTTTGGCCGGGAAATATAGAAAGAGTCAATATATTGTACTTATCCTCATAAAGTATATTAAATCTTATCTAACATATGAGTAATAACATATAGTATTACACCAAAATAACATATCGTACTTAGATCCAATATATAGTGAAAATTCACACACTTATATGACATAAATATTCAAATGTTCAACTTAGTATTCCAAAGATTGAGTTAGGCGAAAAGAAAAATTGGAAAATAGGTGCATTTCGCAAACGGGTGCGTGCGGCCCGTTTTTCTCACCGGATCAGGGTCAAATTGGGTCGACCCGTGGGTCAACCCGCGGGTTGACAACCTTGTTTAGAAGCCATCAACTGCCCACTAGTGTTTTGATATCTCCGTCGCCGAAGCAAGCAAGCAGGGGAGGCAGAGTTCCTTGGTCAACAAGGGTTAGTTTGAAGAAGGTGAAGACCCTTTGCACAAACCCAGTCCGTAAGCAGGACATGAAGAAAGCTTAGGAGCATATGATGGAGTTGCCGTCATGGTCGGCGGCGGGGGAGAGGAGGAAGAGGAGTAGCGGGAGTGTGATGGTGGTGGTGAGGGTCATTTATTAATTTCCACGTCATCTAGTTAACAGTCAAACTTTATAGTTGACTGCCACGTAGGACAAAGTTAACGAAGTGTAACGGCAGGTGACTAACGGTGAAACGATTCGTAAAGTTAGTGGCGAATAAGAAAGAAAAGTAATTCAGGTGGAAAACATGAAAGATTTGTATAATTTAAGTGACAAAACGTGTAATTTAGCCGAAAAGAAACATTTTATGGGTTCATCAAGTCTACATAAACTATTTCATGAAGCATAGTTGAAGAGCAAATGAAAATGTGAATGCTCCCTATTACAAAGTTCAATGATTATTAGCAGAGCCTACCCGAAAGAAATTTGGTTGAGATCCATCTTACATCACCTTACCCCCAGAACGCCTTTCATGTAATTGCCGATCAAATGCACTTCCATGTAACTGGAAACACTCAAAGCAAAGAAGGTTGAAATGTGTTAGGTGGATTTCAATAAAATGCTAAGAGCTTACTAAGCGACTGATATGGTAAATGAATAGGAAGCCATGACTGATTATAATCAGTGGTTCTATCTCAAGTACAAACAATGACAAAAAGAAAGAAGTTCAGAGCAGATAGCAAGGAAAGGTAAGTAAACATTGACAATCTCGCTTATCTATTAAGTGTATTGTTTTTCATGAAAAGAAGACAAATTCGATATACAGACAACTGGAAAAAATCACAAAATACATGGGGAAGATGATCATAGTCGAAAGATTATAGCATAACAAAACAACTTCATTGATTTTGCCAATTCGAACTTCTCTCTGTCACATCGCCTTAATATCACCCTCATGAGCTCCTGCCTATTATTCTTTACCAATCGAATTTAGGAAAGGAACTGTAAGAATGAATTTTGAAATATAAACAAAAAGCTAAAACAAAAAGAACTGAGAAAGAGAAGGATTAGTTGGTACATGCTTCCAGTTATAAGTCGCTATGGTCTTCTCATATTCACCTTTCATGTTATCTACTTTTGCACTGTAAAGAGCCTTGCCCTAATGTATATAGACACACAATCGAAAAATGGATAAATAGAACTACCCAAAGGATATGGACAGACATAAGGCAGAAGATTTTTTAATGGTGTACTAACCCGTGTGAGAATGGCCTTTATTGGTGTAGTCGACCACATCCACATGATTGCATTCTCTATCCGTGTGAGGGATAGTCACCTCTCAAGCTTTGTTTGAGGTGAAACTCAGCATCAGCGATGCACCATACTTGAGCGAGAAATTGTGGTAACTCTTCAATATCGATATTGTCGTCTTGAATCCATAGCCAAGTGGACTTTCCACTTTAGTCATCTGAGTTGTGTTGGAGAACTCTGCAAGCCGAGGGGCTTCCATGACAGTTGTTGCTCAATCCTTCTTGTCCAATGTAGTTGACTTCGCATTTTGATCGCCCCTGCGTTCCAGATTACGTTTAGCCACATTGTGATTTGCTCAGCAAGGACCAAGGGGGCTTCTGGTTTGCCTCTAAAAATGAATTAATTTACCTGTTTTTGGAGGTGCCAGTAGATGGCGCCAAAAGTCCCAAAACTATTCATTTTGTCTTAATACTTGAGGTTGCTGATCAACCATTCCTTGAAGGGCATTGCTGGGTTGTTCTTTGTGATTACAGTTTGGAAAAATCCCCAAATCTCAGCCGCAATTCTGCAACTTACTGTGAGAAGCTACATAAAGGTGATCCATCATGGAAGAATAGCAACCAATCCACACATATATCTATTGGAGGGGGCAGTTAGAGAGAAATCAAGCAAGCAAGTAATTCAACAGTTAAAGCAAGTGCAAAAGGAGAACAAGGATGAGGAACAATGCAGGAAAAACCAGGTTAAACCTGCTCGGAAAGCAAGAGGTTTAGTTTCCACCGAAGATGAACGGGGCTAAGCGATCTGCCGAACCTGTAGGATGTAAAAATGCTTTGGAAGTTGGATGATCTGGAAATGAAGAGTAAGTTCATCTACCACCTTAGTTAAATGGTTGACTTGCAGGCTACCAACATAATTTGCCTGGTGTGAAGATGCAGTTGAGGCCATGAATTGATGTTCACCAGGATTGCAACCACGTGAAACTGAGGTGGAAACAAACAAAGCACCAAGAGTAAGATATTACAACTTGAATGATTGAAACACCTCTGCACCAGAATTTACTTTCCAAAGAAAGCTTAAAAGATTAGAACTTGTTATGGTCGAAGCACTCTCACGCTCCTCTTCATCTGAGGATGAAGCTGGAGAAAGAGACCCACTTTCTGCAACAGCATCACCATTACATAGGTATTTTTACTAACTCAATCATCTTGTTCCATAAACCAAGATCCCCGTGTCCTTCCTCTTTATGACGAAGCATGTACTTCTTCTTCAAAAAATGCAGAAGACACACCACCCAACAGATTGTGGACGTTGGTCCAGATATAATGTATAGGCCCCAGAAGTAATGGAGGCTCAAGTTTCTAGTTTTGCCACCGCTCCTACTGTCTAAACACTCTCTCTAGATGGAGAAAACCAATCCTTTTCCAGCATTTGCAAAGTTCCATCTTCTGACACCTTCACGATGGCCTTCAAAACGTCGGCTGCTATTGGAGAACCTTTTCTGAAACGCCTGCAAGGAACCAAGTTTAAGTGTACACGGGTAATTAATGATCTCCAACCAACATGGTTGTTATAGATGAACAATTACGAATCCCAGCCCTCCAAATCTGAACATCTTTGTGGCCACAGTGAACCGCCTACAGTAGCAATTAGTATGAGAAGTACAGATTACAGATTACAGAGGAGTATGAGAAGTATTTATAGTACTTCTCCATGTGGAGTATCAGCGAGACCTCCGATTACCAGTCGTAGCGGCTGATAGTCCGATTCAAGTCACATAAACAAATCTCCACCTTGACTTGAATCCTCTTCCTCTGAAATCTCTGATGTACTCTGCTCCTTCTCTCTCCCTCTCCCGCCATCAATGTGTTAACTGAGAAATGGAGAAGAAAACTAGGGTTCTACGAACAGGGAAAGGAAGAAGAGTGAATTGCAGGAGATGGAAGAAGACGATTGATCTGTTCTCGTCAATCCTCTTTAGTTATTAACTTGGGCCAAAAGCAGAGAAAAGCCCACGAAGTGAATTAAAAGAAAACCAAATTATTTATCAGCCAAGCCCAAGGAAGTTTGGCCCACTGTTTGTTCTCTGCACACAGTCATCTTGTCGAGAAGATGAAACAGAGAAACAGGGGAACTTCCACCAAAACAGAGCAAGAGCTGATCAAGTAACCAAAATCAAACGCAGCAGGAAAATTAAATGAACACGGGCAATTTAACGAGGTTCCCAATCTACTGGTCACTCCTCGTCCTAGACTCAGCACTTTACTGATGTCTAGGAGACTCTTTTTATTCGATTTTTCCTATCAAGCAAAAGATGAAACAAATTGACTCAAAGTACAAGCGCAGGAATTTAACCCGGATCTTAATCCCCAGACCCGTTACACCGCTAATCAAACAGAACCTTTTCCTCTGTTTGATTAACCCAGATTGTAAGCAGCCCTGTTCCACCCTTACAAAAAGTACTTCTCAACTTAACAGGACACTGATATATATAGCCTTCAGCAATCATTCGACCGTTGCTTTTGAAAGGTGAAGAAGGATGAATATGGAAACTCTGAGCTGTTCCTGGCTGTCCTTCTTTCCCTCTTTAGAGCAATCCTGATTTGGTAACTACATTCAACAATCTCCCCTTAAATCAGAGATTGTCGATTGCCTGCAAAAAAAACATTCCTTCTCTCGACCAAAAGCAAAAGCTGCTCAACATAGATAAATAGTACTTAATCGATTAAGAGAAGAGCATAGTCAATAAAAGCCCAAACATTCAAAAGTAGCAATCAGTATCCAGAAACAAAAGCAGACTCGCAGCCAAAACAGCTCAAAGCAAACAAAGGTCCAAACCAACCACAACACCCCTTAGTCTCAACTAAAACATTCAGCAAAACTCTCAAGCTCCCCTAAAAACACAACCTCAGCGAATCAAGAAGATCAGAGATGACTCTCTTAAGCACCATCGCTGACATCGTCAGAACCATATTCTAACAGAGCCTGGAGGGCTTCGACAAACGGTTCCAGCCCAGGTCCATCATAAGAGCTTCCACTGCTGCTGCTATCATCAGAGCCGCTGCTTACCCAGACAACATCATTCTCCCCTTCAACAGCATTCTCCCCTTCAACGGCAATCTCCAGATCATCCAGAATATGATAAGCGAGAGGGTACAGGGATGGCGTCGCAGTGAGAAACGGTGAAAGGTGGAGGTGCAGTTCAAGGAGCAAGGATGTGACCAGAGGTCCAAAAGCAAGAGGACCAGTCAGAGCAGCATCACTTAGGCGCAAAAGGTTACCAAAGACCAGGTGAGCATAGTCGAGGGGAACCCCATGGACGGCATGAGAGATGATCCAAAGATCTAGTGGGAGGACTAGATCCAAGGATTCAACACGAGGAACAAAGATACGAGTGATGCAGTAGTGAAGCAGCCTAAGAGATGGCAACAGCGCAGAGAATGGCATGAACATGCCAGAGGCAGGCAGCACACCAGTGAGCTGGTGGAACTCATCAGGATAGTGGAAAGCAAAGAGCTCCAGCTCTGAAGCATCAGCGAGAGCTTCTCCAACGCGAGGAATGTGAAGAGTTTCGGACAGGTCATCGAGATGGAGAGTGAACAAATGGCCGAACACTATGGACGAAAAAGAGCGGGAAGCCAGCCCGGGAGAGCGAAAGTTTGAAAAGAAATATCGGACCAGATCGGGGCAAATCAGTGAAGAGAAGGGCTGGTCAAGGAGGAATTCCCATCCTAAGTTGCGAATAAACCCATGAACATCAAGACCCAATTCCACAAGTTCAGGAAAAGGGACATGATAGGAGGGCAGAAAGGGACGGGACGCAAAACTTTGGATATGGCGGTGATAATTGGAGGGAATAGGCTCAAAAAATAGGGTACCAGTGTATGTGATTGCGAAGACCATGATAAGAGATGGGCAGGGAATACTCAATTGAGGGTATGCAAGGACTGAGGAGTGGAGATCAACACTTAAATACCCGCAGACACATTCTAAGCAAGGAAAGGAAATAAATGCAGGGAATCAAGAGAATCAAGTTAAAAGAGACAAGAAACGAAGCACTACTGACCCTAGACTCAACAGGAAAGAAAATAAAACAAGAAAAGGAAGGCAAGGGCAGCAAATTATGCCTCAAGGATCTCGGTTAGAGATGCTAAAGATCTCAAACCGATTTCGAAGCATAAAAAGGTAAATCGATCAGCAGACAAAGGTTTTATAAAAAGATCCGCCAGTTGGAATTCGGTAGGGATATATTGTAAGGTAACTATATTATCCTGTACCAGATCTCGTATGAAATGATATTTGACTTCTATATGCTTGGTACGAGAGTGCTGAACAGGGTTTCTAGTCATGCTAATGGCACTGGTGTTATCACAAAACAAGGGAATAGTAAGAACTAATAGACCATAATCAGCTAATTGATTTTTAAGCCATAATAGCTGAGTGCAAGAACTACCTGCCGCTATATACTCTACTTCAGCTGTTGAGAGGGCAACAACACCTTGCTTTTTGCAAGACCAAGACACTATAGAGAGCCCAACAAACTGACAACTGCCTGTAGTACTCCTACGATCAGTAAGACTTCCGGCAAAGTCAGAGTCACTGTAACCCATGAGTTCAAACACATCCTGTTTACTATACCATATTCCAACATCTGGTGTGCCTTTGATATATCTGAAAATCCTCTTAACAGCAGTTAAGTGACTTTCCTTTGGTTGAGACTGAAAACGTGCACACAAACAGACACTATG